GTGGGCCATAAAGGATTTCCCGACCGACTGTTTGATGATATATGTTATAGCATTCCCGACCGATAGTGTGTCATTGAATAGATGTTTCCCGACCCACAGTCCGTTAGAAATTTTTCTGGCATATTGTCGGTCGGCAATGGTGACTTTTTCCCAACACACGTCGGCAGGGAATTTTGGTGCATGGTGTAGTGAGAACAGGTTTAAGATCATAGATCAGAAGTCATTCCACACTTTCCCCACCCAAGTTAAGCTTGTGATTGCTTGTTGCATTCTGCATAAGTGGATCCTGCAATGGGGTTGTGATAAACTGGTGCCCAGGGTGGAAGATGTGACGCCTGACGATGTTGTCAGCTTTGGCCATGGTGTGGAGGCATTTGATAACGAAGCCTAGAACAAAAAGACAGAATGGGCACAGGGAATGTGGGATAACAGAGGCCGGACAAGGATTTGAAGAAGAAGAAGAAGAATAAGAAGAAGAATAAGAGCAGCAACAAAAGAGAAAGAAGAAGCAGGAGATGAGGAGGAGAAGAAGAAGCCGAAGAAGAAGAAACAACGGGAGCAGAGGAAGAAGATGAGTTAGCATCGATGGATTTTTCCCTATTCAGCCATATATCTCTTAATAATTTGTACTGTCATTTCATAGTAGATAGGATGAACTGCGATTTGTTTCCTAGCTAGGACTGAAACTATGTTCAGATTGTTTGTAGTAAGGTCACCACTAATGATAAGGGGTGACAACATCTTATGCAGTTTGGAACAAAACAGCGTGCGATATGTGCGCCTACTGCAACGCAGCCAACCAAACGGCGGGTCAATTTTAGTTTCCTCATACAACCATCCTAAGAGCATTACTAGTAGAACCCTCAAACCCTCAAACCCTTATAGCAGTTTTAAGGGTTGAGAAGTGCCAGTTTTTGACACTTTTAAGGGTTGAAAAACAGGGGCAAAGACTAGAACCCTCAAACCCAACCCGTAAACTGCTTTAAGGGTTGGATTTGAGGGTTCTAGTCTTTGCCTCAACCCCAACCTTTAAAACTTTCATTTCATATATCACACATTTCATCATATGACATATCACAAATTTCATCACATTTGACATAAAACAATAATCATTCTAGTTATTATTACAACATCAAATAAAACAATAATCATTCAAATTATTACAACAATGTTTGAGCAAATTACACTAATTGTTCGAATCAAATAGGACATAGAAAAGTAAAACAAAGATACATCATGGGCCAAATATTCAATATCTCATATCCTATAATTCAAATAAGCTAAAAAAATCCTAGATTACTAGGTACATGTAGTGTTTACTGGATCTTTCTAGCAAAATAGCCATAGTTTTGAACCAACATGTTTGACCATACTGTGTTGGGTTCGGGAATAACAGAAAGACATTGGAATTACTAGCAAAACAACTGCGCAAAGTCTTTCACATTTCTACAAATAAGAACCGAAATCAATTGATGGACTAATTACAACAACTACTAACTAGCTAATATAACTAGTTGCCACAGAATCAGTTCTAAAATCTTAACAACCTTCAGAAGTTCAGAACAATGGCAGCAGCCGGACGACCAGAGAACGGCGTCGGAGCCGTTGACAACCGCAAGTCAGCGGAGGAAAATAGGCAGAGCAAGCCCCCCGCCGTCGCTGACGGACCAGATGGGCAGTGTTGCCGAACTGGTTGCAAACGGTGATGCCGCCGGGCGCCTGCACGTGGTTGCGTGGGTGACCACGGCGATGAAGGGGACTAGGGGAGGTCGGCTCTCAGCCGGTCGCCGTCGGGAACGGCGCGAAGACTGCGGCCAGTCACTGCTTCCGGCAGCGGCTATGTCGATGGCGTGCGGACGGCTAGGCTAGGGACTCAAGGTGGTATGGAAGAAAGGGCAGCGCAGTGGAAGGAACGGAGACCGGCGCCGGCGACTCGAAGGGCGGCGCACCTGAGCGCGTGCGGGCGAGGCGGCGCACAGCGAGGACCAAGGACAGGGACAGCAGTATCGGGACGAGCGGCGCA